TTTTTGTAATATCCTATATTAGAGACTCATGTTTCCAACCACTTAAAGGATACTTCTATCCAGATGGAAATCCTACAGCCACTCAAATTTAACAGGCCTAAAAGGAACTCATTATCATTTCCTAAAACTTGTTCTTTTCATCTTTAATACTGGTTAAAGACATCACTATGTACCCTGGTTCTCAAGTCTATCAGTTCTACCTTAGAAATCTCAATCAAATCTAACTTTTCTTCTCCCTCACCAATGCCATGTTTTCAACATAGGCATCTTCTATCAGTTATATTCTAAAAGAATCCTAACTTACTCTCCTGCTATCACACTCTCCTCCTTAAGAACTGAATCCTGATAAGGGTTGCTGCATACAGCCTGAAGTCTGCACCACTAGAGAAGGTCGCCATCCATGTAAACTACGATTGTTAATTGCGCCCAATGGCCTAATCATGATACTCCCCCTGCTTTCAAACTTCATGAGATTAAACAAACCTATAGCACTACAAAATCCTTCAACTGGCTCCACTTTCTATTTTTCTAGCTTCAGGTTCTCATCATTCCTCTACGCACCCTACAATCCAGACATATTTAACTTTTCAGTATGCCCTATCAAAACCCACGCTTCTGTGGAGTTCTCTTTAGTCTATAGTGCCCTCTCTCCGTAAAACTTCTAAATCCTTCAAACTACAGTTCAAATGTACCCTCCTCTGGGAAGCATTTTTTGGCTAGCCTAGACAAAGATACTTCACTAAGCATTTTGCTAACAGTTCTATTACAGAATTTGTTGCACCGTATAATAATCACATATACCCATCTCCCAAATTCAGAGGAGAGTTGAGCAGGGCATAAAGAAGCCCTATATTTGAACCCTCAGTAACTACAATGCGCAGCCCCTAAAAGGGGCTCGATTCATGTTTATTAATACTATACTTACCATATGCATTAGGACAACTTTTTAAAAGTAAATAAAAAATGAGTTTAACAAAAAAGTTACATGTTCAACTGTCAATCTAAGTCTATAATCCATGTGGCAGACAGAACTGATGTGACTATTCTTGATTCCTACACTTCCTGGTGTTTAAACCTTTGTATAATTCCCTCCCCTTGCACGTGAACTGGACCTATGGCTTGCTTCTAATCAATGAAATACAGCAAAGGCAATGGGTTGTATGTGATTACGTGTACATGATTATGTAAGAACATAGCACCAGTTCACCTTTGCTAGACTCTCTTCCTGTGCTGACTTTGAAGAAGCAAGCTGCTCTAAACCTAACAGACACAAAGAAATAAATTCAGCCAATAACCCAAGGAAGTCTGAGGGCAGACCTTTCCCCAGTTGAGTCTCTAGATAACCCAGCCCTGGCCAACACTTAGACTGCAGTCTTACAGACGACACAGCTAAGTTGTGCCCAGCCCCTTGACCCACAGAAATTGCGAGGTAGTAAATGTGTTGCTTAGAACCGCTAAATTTGTAGTCATTTGTTAATAAGCAGCTTAGAAAACGAATAAAATCAGAACCTAAGGCATTTCTGAACTCTTTTTTCACAAAAAGGCCTACGTTTTGTCCAATTTCTAAACAAGTAAATGTCATGTACATGCAAAATTAAAACACAGACTAACATTTCAAATTAACAATAGTTCTTAAGAATATTTACATAAGGTAAAACTTAGGAAGTAATTTGCTATATAAAGCAGTTCCTACACTCTCTTTTAACACATTTACCAATATACCCAATTTTACATAATACTTAGTAGATGTAATAAGTGTAACATTAGGGCAATTCTCCTTACAAGCCCAAACAATAATAAATAGTTTAAAAGTTGATATCTAATTAACGATATTTGGTAGTCAGAAGAACTTACTTACTAGTAGTCATCAGGCAAAGCAATCAAATTGGAGGACAGCAAGGGACTTGCTGGAGATGTGCCTGAGGGAGTAAGACACTATCTTACAACAACAGGGCTCTTACTCCCTCAGGCACTGCACCAGCCAGCAAAGCATCAAAATACCAGGTTCTCAGGTCATGCTGCTCTCAGATCAGGTGATGCCCTGTGCAACTCACCAATCCTCCCCACCTTGCAGTCAAGAATAGTTCCAAAAAATTCCCAAAGCAGAAACTTCCACGACACAAGCCACACTTACACACAGCAAAGCATATAATACGAAGGTATGAAATTACAAGCGAGAAACAATAACCACCAAAATCCTTGTTACTTCAGGAGTGGCAGGGGTTGTGGTTAGAAGGCTCATTTTTCTTAGAAAGAGGCAAACATTCCTCTTCTGCCACTCCCCGTAAAAGCCTTCAATGGCACAAAATAACATTCAAGAATAGGAAATAAATTACAATATCCCAAATTCAAACATTTTGGCACTTGATATTGGTAAGAAGTGATAACTGAGACCAATTCAATAATGGTTAATTGATGAAGATAACCTAACACCATAAAACTTCACATCTGCTTTACAAATTAAGAGAAATCTTCCTAGAAATACAGGTCTTCTTCAACATATTCAGTTTTAAGAGATAACCCGCACTCCTTCAATATAAGAAAACATGTTTCACAAGTAACAAGGCACCTGAAAGACAATCAGACTACTGAAATACTCAAGAGCAAGCCACACCCAAGAAAGCTCAAGAAAATCAGGAGGCCAAAAGCAACCCAGCACCACTGGTTGTCTGAGATTAAGTCATTTTACATTTTCACTTCCGGACTCAAGGACACATTTAGAAGTCCACACGATTTCTCTGGAAATAATCTCCATTTATTGGTATATTTCTATAGCCCAATTCATCTACCCCATCCTTGCCGCATCATTAAAAGGCTATTTTACCACTCATGTTATGCCCTTATGCACAAAGCTACTTGACAGTGGAAAAAAAAGCAGACGTAAATTAAAGCCAGACAAACCCCTCTAAGATACCATCAAGACTTTTAAACGTTAGGAAATACCCTTAAGACCTGTTTTAAAACAAAGGTGATGGACAATACTAGCAGTAGTCGAGAAAGCATCTGTTCACTTTAACACTCCCCAGTCTGAAAAGAATAACAAAGACAAGATTTACTTCACCTAAAAACTCCTATATAAATATAATCATATTCTGATGTCCAGCAACTCAATTCTAGGAAATTTCTACAAACTGAAATATCTGGATTAGGCATTTTTCTTCCAGTCTCTAGAGAGAATAAGAGCGTATATAGCCAAAATAGATGTCCAAAAGACAGCAAAACATAAAACCAACACAGAAAACTTCCTCGTTCAATGTGGCAATTCATTGTGAGGGAACTACTAACAATTCCACTTGCTAGACTCTTAAGTGTTAAAAATAAAAAGGGGGGACTGTTTTTCATTTTCTATAAATTACATGACAGCTCACAAGAGAATAATTTTGAATCTTATTGGTACCATATATTCTTATTAGGAGACGTGAATAATCTAAACAACAATTAAAACGACAGCTTTACAAAAAACAATATGAACTCTCCATTAATTCTGAAATAATCCTTTTATCAATTTTAAGATGGGTTATTTGTATATAACCATTTATAAAATTTGTAACTGAATAAACACAATAATGCTATAATAGATACTAAAAAATCAAGTAAATGTGAAGTATAGTCAAGTCTAATTTTTTAAATTATAAGATCTAGCTCCCTAAATCTCATGACGATGAGAAACATGCTTCTATTATTTTCCTAATAACCCGTTTACTAAAATATACGTAAAAATCTCAGTAAGGCATGCCACTAAGATGGGGTTTTACATAAGTGTATTCCATCTCCCTGTCTCAACAAAAATTTCAGGATGTGGCACTTTCATTTGATCCTGTCATACAGTAAGAACAGGTAATTTCTCTGATCCCTTTCCAGCAATTCTCAACTGAGGTTCCTCATCTGAATCACCAAACACAGGCAATTATTTCAGTGACTGTTTTCTCAACTGTTCCAAGAATGATACATAACTAAAACCGTCCTAAATGCACTGGAGCTAAAAGTTAAAATGCATTGCACACTACAGCACAATTGTCTCCTCAAAGCCGGTTGACAAAGGCTGCTATAAGTTCCTCAGAAACTGTCACTGTACTACTAGGTCCCTGTCACCCAACCCCAACAGCACTAAAAGAACTATAGTGACTGCACAAATCTACAACTTAGATAAGAAAAAAGAGAAATGCTTTATCTCCAACTTTAAGCAACTAGGTATTTTGACTTACTCATTTACTAGGAATAACATGGGGCTCAACTGGCCCGTGCTCTGAATGGAATGCATTTACTTAACAAAGTAAACCCATAGAAATATGTTTCTCAAAGGGAATTATCAGCTCTTAGAAACTGAATTTTTAAAAATCAGCATATTAAATATTAACTATTAACTTGACAAGGCTTTTCCTATTCACCCTTCTTTAGCGAACTTAAGCATTCATCTTTTGATAACTGCTAAATACAAGTTTTCACTTTAAAAAGATAAAGATAAATATTAAAAACCAGTTTGCCCTTCAATCTCACACTAATCACCAATTCTCAGAATCTGCCTTTTATATTCTTCAATGTGGACTACAGCAACTTCAACTTAGTTTAGTTGTGATCAAATCACTTTAAGGACACCAGGAGAGTTCTTTTACTCAAAAGCAAATGACTTTTAAAAATGGCCCAATTTTAAGAGGGATGAATATTTTTAAGAAGCAAAAATTAATTTAAAACAAGGTAGCTAATTAAAAGTCAAGCATCATTCCATATTGAATGTGCAAAGCGTTACTAAAAAGATGGGAAAAATTAAACATGACATTCTTATTTTTAATTTATGCTGGCGTATATGCTGATAGTACAGAACATCAGAACAGATAAATTACTACGTATTCCACTTTACTAAGTCTCCACTCAAAGTTCCTACGTTTACAAATATATGAGTAAAAGAGGCACAAAAATGTAGGCGATGCTGTTTTCGCTGTTCATCTGCGCTCAGCTGCGAATTCTTCTATTGGATGCATAATGCGATGAAATGGGAATGCTTATCTTCTATATTTGTATTTATTTTCATAAATCGGGGAGGGGAGGTGGTCTTGATTCATTTACTATCAGCGTTTTGCAATAAAGTAGATCAGCATAAAACATAACTGAAGTAGAATTCACTTTTCCCAGGACAACGCACCCTTCCTCCTGTTTCTATAGTAAAGCACATCATTTTGCTATTAAAAATGTCCATTTTCCACAACTGACTTTTTCTTAACTCTAGCCAACACTGCTCTTCAAAAGAACCTAGCCAACTACTCTACCTTGTAGGCAGAGTTGCAAAATTTTTACTTCTTTAGGAAACTTTTCCACTTTTTAAATGCTTTCCAAATTAAGCAGGACTCACATTAACTGTGACCTTAAGTAGCGGTTCAGTGGGGTTTAAAAACAAACTTTTCATTAACGCTTTCCTCCAATTAAAGTGACATAGTAAGTGGGACCGACACAGATTTAAGGATTACAGCTTTTTATTAAAAGTCGGTCCAAAGATGGTAACTCAGCGTTCATTCGAGACCCTTTGACTTTTGGCCTTTAAAAACTGTTCCCCACTGAGTCCCCAGTTAGAACTACATTTAGCAACGGGTCTCCTCCTGACTTCCTGGTACTAAAAGCCGCAACCACAAGGGCTGTTTCGTCGGTTTGTTGTAAAACAACATTTGCTCCAGTCATCTCTCTGAAAAACAGACTTTCTCTACCGGGGAGCCGCTGAGGTGAGGGTGTTCACGATGTTTAAACACAAAACCCTGCGTCTACGCGGTAGCGGCACCGCAGCAGTTAAGTGCCGGGGGTTTCTTCCCAGGATGGAGACCTGCGGGGGTTGGGCCGGGAAGCAGCCCCCGGCGCCCCGGGCGAAGGAGAAAAGAAGGCTAAACATAGCCGGCGGCCACAACCCACGTGCAGCCGCGGGAGGACCGAGCGCGGGCGCGCGGAGAGGGGTCCGTACCTCGTAACTTGTGCGGCGAGAGGTGAGCTGGTAAGGAGCCAATCACCGGGCGCGGTCCCCCGGTGCTCCCGGCCGCCGCCGCCGTCTTCAGAGCTGCTGTGCACCGAGTCCTGCGAGCCGTAGGGGCCGCTGCTGCTGTTCCGGATGCTGAAGGAGGACTGCGCCGCACGGACCGCCGACGCCACGCTCCCCACGGGCCCGCCGAGGCAGCGGCTGCGCGGGGCTGCCGAAGCCGCCGCGGTGCCGGCCGCAGCGCTGAGCTGGTGCGCATTGGGTACCTGAGCCGGGAACCTCCGCGCAGCGGCGGTCAGAGCGTCCCCGCCGCCCGCAGTCCCATTGGCCCCTCCGCTGCTACTGGAAAGTAGATCTGAGCCCGAGCACGCGCGCGTGCGACTGTTAGCTGCTGTCGGGCCGCTCTGCTTGGCGCTCATGTCAGTCCTGGCCCGCGCCGGGCCCGGCCCGCGCGCTGCGCCCAGAGAGCCCAGAGGGCAGGAGCGAGCGCGGGAGCTAGAGAGCAGGGCCCAGGCACCGCGGCCGGTCCAGAGAGGCCCCCGCGCGTACAGGGCCGCCGCCCGGCGCCCCCTTCTCTGGGCAGCGGGCGAGGCTGGCGGCTTGACGCGGGCGGGGGAAACGAGGAGACGCGGAGAGGAAGGGGTCCCGGCTGCGCGCACCCCTTGCTGGCTCCAGCAGGAAGGGGTGGCTCAGTTGGCCGTGCGGCTGCCGCTGGTTTTGCTTCTGATGCGCCACAACGGGTTGCTGGTGCTCTCTGCTGCTGCGCTCGGCGCCCCGAGCCTCGGCACAGCCTCCTTTCGGGCGGCCGCTGCTAGCGCCGCTATCCTCCGGCTCTCAAGGTGTCTGGCGGCTGAGCGGGAGGCGTCCGCCCAGACTCCGCCGGGGCCACTTTCCCTCCTCCCCCAGCCACCCAGCTGTTATTAACGGAGAAAGAGGGAAAAACGGGTGGCGCGCGAGGGGAGGACGAAGAATGGGAGGGAGGGGTGGTGCGCGCTTCCCGGCAACCGTCGCCTCGCTCCCCCTGCGAGATTAATTTCACAGGAGATTAATTTCTCATTAATTTCAAATAAAAATGTGAGTTTAGAACAGAATGTTTTAAAAAGGTAAAAGCATTCACTGCATACTATATGCCAGCACTATACTTAGGACATACATGACTATATATGTGAGCTCTTATCTCACTTCTCTTGTAGAATAGTTATTATTAAACTCATTTGAGAGATGAAATGATTGACAGCTGTTGAAGGATTCCTTGAAACCATAGAAACTATAACTTGCAGAGTCAGAATTTCAGTTCAATTCTGACATCAAAGCTATGGTTTTCCTGCTATATCAAGCTGCATAATAAATCTACACTTGTGAGACGTGGAAAGACGTTTACGATGTTTAGTGATATATATTACATTAACATTGATAATGTGATCTCATTAGGTAGTATTGAGTAACTCTTAATTTCATATTTTAAATGCCTAGGGGGAAGACTGGAAAGATAATCACCAACATTTTTTTTTTTTTTTTTTTGAGATGGAGTTTTACTCTTGTTGCCCAGACTGGAGTGCAGTGGTGTGATCTTGGCTCATTACAGCCTCTGCCTTCCGATTTCAAGTGATTCTCCTGCCTCAGCCTCCTGAGTAGCTGGCATCACAGGCGCCTGCCACCATGCCCAGCTAATTTTTGTATTTTTAGTAGAGATGGAGTTTCACCAGTTGGCCAGGCTGTTCTCGAACTCCTGACCTCGCGATCTGCCCGCGTTGGCCTCCCAAAGTGGTGGGATTACAGGCATGAGCCACGGCGCCTGGCCAATCACCAAAATATTAAAAATGGTTAGCTCTTAGAGGTGCTTACTTTCCTTTTTCAACTCTTTATTTTTTTATTTTCCCCCCAGTAATCTCACATTAGTTTTCCAGAATGTATAATGTTATTTTTAAAAAACCTCTGAGACATAAACATTCTGTTAGAAATTTTTTTGTTGTTATTTTTCCTTTGTCTTTGAATATGTTACAAATAGCTTGCAGATTGGAAACAACTGGTTAATTAAATCTTCTGCTTGGTTAAAATGGTAATGCATACAGGTGCTATTATTCCATTATGTTCCAGTTTTTATAATATATTTTATATATTTTATGAAGGAATAAATTCAAGGATCTAAATGAAATGAATTTTGAAATGTTTCTATAAATCTTTGTATTTTTCTATTAATCACCATATTTTAATTATATACTTTTATATTGACTTAACAGTTACTATTATTTATATTACACGATTGGTTACCACATATGTAATATTTTTCTATATAGAAGCATAATGTATAATTTTGAAGTGACTGATTCACAGGTGAAATGATCTAAATTGTCAGAGTTTATAATGTCTAAGGCAACCATCACAAAATGGTACTTTGGAAAGATCATTATGAAGAGAATGTGTTTTCCTCCATTATCTCTTTTTTTTTTAGTCTTTTTAAAGGTAGTCATAGGCTCCTGGTATTGCACATTCATGGGAATAATGAATTTATTTGGACTAGAGACTAAGACCTGCTGGAATGTCACCAGAATAGAACCTCTTAATGAAGTTCAAAGCTGTGAAGGCATGTTTCTTCCAAACATGCTGTCATTTGTAAACATTCATCAACATTTAACAATATGATTCACTTTTAAGAATTATTGTAAAATACTGTTGTTCACTTAAAAAAATTAGAACTGACTCACCTCAATGAATATTTTACATTTTAAAGTAGTTTTCTGAGAAGGCTGTGTACGTACAAATTTGAGTATAAAGTTTGGAATTTGAGTATTAACATATCCCATTGTAATGCAATCTTGACTATAAGTTAGTCTTCTATTTCAGAATACAAAGATACAGAAAGATGTGTCTTGGAGTAGTTTCAATATATAAATTTTGAGGGTATATTAAATAGTCAAATATCTATTTGTAATAACTAATATAAATTTAATTATGCATACATATTTTAAAAATTTAAAATTGCATAAATATGCAATAATAGATTTAGAAATACTACTTTTTTATATATGCTCATAGTTCATGAGTAGTAGTAATAAAACTCTTCCTATTTATATTCTACATTGATTTCTTTGTCAAAGAACCGCTTTTGGAATCATCTAACAGCTTTCCAGGATACATAGTGGTCACTTCCATTTAAGATGTTTGCATTTCAGCACTTTTACAATTCAAGTACGGTGCTGTCCCTTGAGACGCTCATTCAGAGCCACATGTATCTCTTTTCATAACACTAATACTGTTGTTTTTTCTTTATTTCTTCAAATTCTTAAGAACATGACTTATTATATTTTATGAATAAATTTTTAGACTTGTTTGTAACAACACAACTCTTGCAATATGAACCAAATCTATTTTCATTACATTTTTTACTAATTCCCTCAGTAAAAATAGAATTGATGAGGATGTTTGGGGGCAATTATACTTTTTTGTGTACAATGTAAAGGATTGGAGAAACTGCCTCATAAAATGAGAGGCTTAGCAATGATTCAGTCAGCTAGAAGGTGTGACCCTGTCTGAGTGGTGAAAATGATCACCTGAGTATGGTATTAGTTACATTCCCGATAAGTGATAGGTTCGTGTTTGGCACTTGGGACACAGAGATGAACCAGCTAGGCGTGGAGCCTTACCCTCATTGAGTTTATGCTGTAAGGGGGCTGTTAGCAGTTACAACTGTGGTGGATATTACAAATAAGAAAATAAGGTTCCCGACGTTAGGAGTAAGAGAGGGTAAGTATTTTAAGAATAGGGAATAGCATATTCAAATATCCTGAAGCAAGAGAGAACTGAAAGAAGGCTAGAATTCCTGGAAGCAATGGAGAAGAAAATGATGTGAAATGGTGCTGGGAATATAAGGAAGGATCAGATCATGAAAGGCGTGCACTGGCGAAGGATTTTATACTTTATCCATTGAAGAATTTTAACAGATTTTCATTTTAAAACATTATTTAGTCAATGGTATGGAAAGAATATTAGAAAAGGGACAAAAGTAGGTTCAGGGAGGCCAGGTAGGAGACTTCCTCTATTCTCAGCAAGTGACTGCAGGAAAGATAATGTGGAAATGCCTGGGTGTGAGAGAGATAAGGGTGGGGAAGGTGAGTGAAGAATCATGTGAAACACAGTTGGGTTTCTAGCTTCAGTAACTGAGCTCCTTTGAATGGTAAGAAGCATTTGAACAGCAGCGGGTTTGTATTGTTATGTTTCATTGTGTATGCATTAATTTGAGGTACTTAAGACACCTCAGAGTGGGGACATGAAGTGGCTATCTGGGTATAAGAATAAGGAGAAAGTTCTGGATTAAATGTAGAGTTGGAGTCATCTGTATATAGATCATTGGAGCCATGGATGTAGAAGAATTTCTTTATGGAGAATGTGCAGATGGAGAAATGAAGGGGGCATACGACAGAGCCTAAGGTGGTCCAGTGTCAAAGAGTGGTAAATAAAACAAGAGAAGTTACTGGAACTGACTCAGAGGAGTGATCAGAGAGGCAGGGGGAATCAGAAGGCCAGCCTTCAGACCTTGGGTCCAGCCAGTTAAAGTGAAATAACCTTTGACAAGTTGAGTATTCTATGTTCTGTTTTCTCAATCATAAGAAAAGTATTTTTATACCTGCTAATGTCATAAACTTGTTCTGAGAAAAATGTGGGATGATTGTAAAGTACATATTGCCACACACACGCACGATCTTCTATATGGAATATACTAAGATTCCAGCTATACATAATAATGGATCAAATGACTGGGTCATTTCATATAGACCAAAGCTGTATCCTGAAGTCAAAACCATACCTTAACTCTTCCTAGAACCTAGCAAAAGATAAAAATAAGGCAATGGATTTTCTTTTGTATTCATTAAGTGGTTCTACAGACAGTTCCAGACACTTAACCACTAGCAGCATCAGCTAATAAATGTGAATCCCCAACAAATCATTACAGTGTAATAGTAATTCTTTAGAGGAAAGTATAAATGCAGTTATAAAAAGTATAAAGTATAAGTGTAACTATATAATACCTCAATAAGGGTGAGCTTACATATGTGTATGTGTAGATATACACACATATATATACACACATACATATATGTGTGTCTGCATACACACACACACCAACACTTGTAAGGGTAAAGAATTAAACACAGCAGCAATCTGGAAAGCAAATGCTTTCAGCAAATTCATGAGTTCATGATTGCGAAGCACTGAGATAATTATGCCCAATTGCTTTTGAGTCATATATTCATTAAACACTGATTATCTGTATCTTTTCAAAGGATTGGGAGATCCTGCTTGCTTTTATGTTGGTGTAATCTTTATTTTAAATGGACTAATGATGGGATTGTTCTTCATGTATGGAGCATACCTGAGGTAAGACTACTACTGAATTAAGAGACCTTCCAGTGGGTTTATACAGACTGGCTGATATTTGTTGATTAAATGAAAAGGAAAATTAA